TTCAGGTTTTGATCCTCCATACTGACGGTACCAGTGAATATAATCTCCAGTTCCAGGAGAATGACTGCAGAATATTGTACCATCTGAACCCTCCTTTAAAACAACTTCTGTTGAGTTTGGTTTGATATCATTTCCAAAGACTGAAGCTGAAAAAGAAAACATTGTAAAAACCTTTTTTTATTGTTTTTTAGTTAGATTAACATTTTTTTAAGTAATAATTAACTAAATAAATAGACATACCAGCTGAGGCACAGAAGAGAATAAGTGAATGAAGCTTCATTGTTGAAGTGTTGATCTCTGAGAAGAATCAGACTAAATGGTTTGAATCACAGTCTCTGTCAGACACCATTAGATCATGTCAGATCTGTCAACACTGAGTTTCTCCTTCCTCACACACATTATAGCTTCTGTACTTTTATTTATAGCTGTAGATCATATATGTCTATAAACACTGCCATCTTGTGGCAATTTACATCTACACAGTGTTACACATGCTTTGAAATTTAAACTACGGGATAACATTATTTAAAAACTTGTAATTGTTATTGCTAGGGTGTACCGAGGTGCAGATTTAACAAAACCAATGACAAAGGAAAGGTTAAGTCCAAAGAGTTTTTCTGCTGCCATCTAAGTTGTGTAAATAATGGTGGAAACTGTTAATGTGAGTTAATGCACTCTTATAAACTTGACAAAATAAAAGTCATTGTCACATCCTATCTGTTACAATTATCACTTGCAGTTTTTAAAGGAATGTACAAGGTCAGTCAGCACATTATATAAGTGCCTCAAGTGTGCCAGAAGAATATTCATTAGCACCACCAGCAGTCTGAACCAGTCTGATACAAGTTATTAATTAATTAATTTTATTTTCGGCTCAGTCCCTTTATTAATCTAGGGTCGCCACAGCGGAATGAACCACCAACTTATCCAGCATATTTTTTTTCTTTGTGCACAATGACACTAATGTTTTTAATACACATTAACAAAGATAAAAATAAATAATTAAATAAATACACTGCTTAGAGGTGCTGTATGTGTTTGACTCTTCTAAAGCATAAATACACCAAAATATGTTTGCAGATATTTAAGAAACATGTTAAGTGAAAATTCTTGTTTATCTGAAAAACAATGGTGAAGTCAGATATTTTGCTTTAAAAAGTGTTTTCCGTGCTGGAATATGGTCTTTGTTTTGGTTCCTTTAACCTGCCCAATGCCACTTTATCCAATTAAATTTCAGCACCCTGGGTTGCCTTTGTTTAAAACTAGATTAAAGACACATCTCTTTGCATTAGCATACAGTACACATAAAACACAAATCCTGTTAAAATCCAAATCCTCTAAAGCAGTGGTCACCAAACTTGTTCCTGGAGGGCCGGTGTCCTGCAGATTTTAGCTCCAAGTTCACCCTAAACAAACACACCTGAACCAGCTAATCAAGGTCTTACTAGGTATACTTGAAACATCCAGGTAGGAGTGTTGAAGCAAGTTGGAGCTAAACCCTGCAAGGACACCGGTCCTCCAGGACTGAGATTAGTGACCCCTGCTCTAAAGGATTTTTAGTCTGCATTATTTGGGACAACCGGACCCTTGAACACTTCCCAAAAAGACACTATAATTTGATCGGCATCTGCGCTTATGTTAGTCTTTTTAAATTATTATTCCAGAGATTTCCATAATCCTGAACCAGGGAGTAACCTTGTGTCCTAACAACATGCTATGTGATAAGATTTGCAGTGATAAGCAATTTGGCTGTTTGCACCAGATGTAACTTGACAGAAACTTAAATACAGCCATTCAGAATGACAGAATATGCACTCACTCATGAAATGGTGAGGTTTATAATCTAATTAATATATATTAAACCTCTTTAACATTATTAAATGTACATGCTGAATCACTGATATGTGTTTCGACTGAGTCACAGTTTTAAAGCTCAGATCCAAAAGGTTTATTTTATTTTTAAGATCTGAGATGAATTATCTGCTGCTGCTTTCAATAGTATGGCAATACATATGTAAAATGACATTGAACCTCACATTGTTAGCATATAAAATTTAATAACGCACATGAGGTTCTCTGTTGTTCAGCTACAAGAAATTAAAGTCGTTTCTACAATATAAATTCCAGGTACTGGTTGAGACAAAAACTCCCTTTAATATAAAATTTTTTCTTCTATCGCGTGCTGTTGCTTTTATTTAAAACATGACTTAAATTAGCCCTAAATCAGCAATTAGGCTCGATGGCAAACTCCTGCATACAGACATTAGGTGGAGCAGCCGGTTTTATGGTGCAGATACAACAACCTGGAGCTGAACACGCTCAAAACAGTGGAGATAATAGTGGACTTTAGGAGAAACAGGTTCCCTCGTCCCAAAGTCAATGGATTTTTTGAACGGGGTTTCAGCAAATTCGTTTAAATTAGGTTCGTGGCTAACACAAACTCAAGATACTTTTACGTTTTGTTCTACGACATAAAACACATCAGTTACACCACACTCTTGAATTTTTAAATCGGTTATGCTTTTTTAAAAAGACGGTTGCTATCAAGTTGCTAAATGGGTCTACAGGCTGTGTTGGGGACATTATATTGTACATCATCGAGCTGATCTGGTCTGGAGCGCAGCTCGCTTGTGTTGGGCATTTGTATTTGTCTGTTATTTAGGTATTTTCATGAATAATATTTTATAGTTTGTAGTATTTTTCTAATTGGGAATTCAGCTTGTGTGTAGATAATTCCTTCACTTGTAAAGGCTGTCGAAACAGATTCATTTGTTGAATATTTATTTCAATAAGCAATATTTTGAAGATACTGCTTACCTGTGCTGTCTGTCTCTTTCCTGCTCTCAGTGATGCAAACGTGTGAATAAATGTGTAAAAATACATGCATGTTAACTGTCATTTTAACGTGATCAAGTGATTTTTCTTTTTTTTTTTTCTTCATCTGAACACATTTAACTCGGCCATAACTGCAATATTTACACTCCTCCATAAAACGTATAGCAGATGTGACTGTATGGGCTGCTTTTCACTGTACGAAAAAGGAATATTGAATGTTGCTCTGTGTCTATGATGGAACTTGCAGGCATTTGATAGACTTGTTCCTCCTCACGCCTCATTTCTGTCATCTGTTAAGGTGAGCAGGCTGTGTGCACGAGCGATACACTTATTTAAATATGTCTGATGATAATATTATATAGGCAGATTTATACCCACAGTTTTAAAACTTTTAGAACAACCATAAAGCAAAACAAACATATTTCCCATGTAAAAACAATCCAAAAGGCATATAGGTCTATGTGTTTGTGCGTATTTATTAGTTTATAATATACACCATGGATTATAATATAATAAACAGAGAGATTAACTCTTTGTCATGGACATTATTTCTAAAAATAAGCTTGATAAGTCGTCTGTAGCAGGGTGCGGCTGACGTCACACTCGAGCGCCTGAGGGCAGTGGAGTCCATTTATAGCCTAATGTTAGCTTTTCAATTCTTACGTTTGCATTTAAGATCCAAAAGTGCTCAAAGTTGTATTTTCATGTGAGGATTATCCGGTTGGACAAAACGTGTAAGTGTAATGAACAGTGTTTGAACATAGCGCTTATTATTCGCAATCTTCGAAAAGCCTATGCGAAAATCCTATAGGGATTTTCACGAGGGAACCAGTTTTATGCTAGCAGCCTACAGATTAGCCTACAAAGTGACATCATAGTTCTTCCACTCTATTAGGAGAATTACCATGTTGCCTTAGTTCATTTTATAGTGGTCCTCAACCACCGGGCCGCGTGGATCAACTGGTACCAGGCTGTACAGGAAATCATGAATTATTTCCATTTTATTCATTATCTGAGTCTGCACGATCTTTTATTTTGAAAAGTCTTTTATTAAATTATTATTAAAATGACCATATTCTCTCGCTTACATCTTGGTCACTTGAGTCCCCAAATTTAACCCACTAGCAGCAAAATGAGTAAGACAGACATCTTTGGAAAGTTTCTTTGCTAAGGGGGAAAGGCCCAGTGAAGAACCTGCCTAGGAATGGATCTGCAACCCAGTTGTTAAAAAATCAGGTGAATCCATGCATGTCTGTGTAAGATGATCAACTGATGTAGATCGCAAATAATGGTGGCCTTTTAGGGGCCGTTCGTATGTCACGTATTTCTAGAATTTGCCTAAGTTTGTTGTTTCCAATGGAAACCAATTGGCCACACTCGCGCCAATGAATCCTGTCAGCTCACTGCGAGTCATGTGACAAGACCTGACCGATCAGCTTCAGCTTGTATGGAATATTCACATTTCGGTAAGACTAATTATTAAAACATAGAACACATAAACACTGCAGTCTCAATGATTTAGCCTATATTATTTTTTTCCCTTTAACATTAGAGTGAATACTGATGTTTTTGTTATTGAATTTTAAATAGGGCTAATTTAAAGGCCAAAGCTTTATGTTTATTAGTTACAAATGGCCTACTGATGTTTTGCTTTTATATTTTTCATCAGGCTATAATTTGTGCATAAACATCAAGATATAGTAATAAACACTGTTTGTTTCAAAACAACATTTTTTGTCATCCTTACTGCAAAGTTGAGTGATTATATAATTAAATGTGAAGGGGGGCCTTACAATATTTTCTAGGGGAAAAGGGGGTCTCAGGTAAAAAAAAAAAAAAAGGTTGGAAACCACTGCTCTAGCAAAAATTTACCTGCGCTGAATATTACATGTGAGAATCAGCTGAGAAGATTTATTATTTGTTACTTTTGACAGTTTTCGCATTGCAGGATCTTTCATTCGATTTGTCAACTAAAGCGCAGTATTATAGAGTTTTATTGTGCTTTACCTGAATTTAGCTAAAGATTCACTCACATTAGAATGTTCATATGATTTTGATTTTATTACCAATAGATTTTAATATAGGTTACTGATTCATTCATTATTTTCATTATATCACTGTAATTCACAGTTACAGCTTCTTTTTATCACTGTTACTCTCGTGTCTCACTGTAACAGGTTATTGTATAGAGCTGATGTGTTTCCTGTCACTGTGGGCTGCAGAGCGCAGTAATACACAGCAGAGTCTGATACTGCGGCAGAGGAGAGCAGCAGATCTGCATGGTTTCGTTCCTTTTTCTCAACTGTAACAGAGAATCTTGGATCTACTTTTGATGTTTCAGTGTCTTTCGTACTGCCAAAAATTAGTACAAGAAATTCAGGTTTTGATCCTCCATACTGACGGTACCAGTAAATATAATCTCCAGCTCCAGGAGAATGACTGCAGAATATTGTACCATCTGAACCCTCCTCATAAACAACATCTGTGATGTTTGGCTTGATGTCATTTCCAAGAACAGATGCTAAAAAATTAAAGCATTTGGTAAATTACATTTTTACTTTTTAGTTACACTAATTAAGCATTGAATTCAAAAAGTAATAAATAACTAAATAATCAAACATACCCGCTGAGGCACAGAAGAGAATAAGTGAATGAAGCTTCATTGTTGAAGTGTTGAAGTCTGAGAAAAGTCAGACTGAATGGTTTCTTTCAGACACCTTTTTCTTTCAGACACGATTAGATCATGGCAGATCCTGTCAACACTGAGTCCCTCCTCTATCACATTATAACTTTTGTTCTGTCTGTTCTGTTCAATGTGAACAACGCCATCTTGTGGCACTTTAAACCTACACTATTTGTTTTATTATATATATATAAGTATATATATATATATATATATATATATATATATATATATATATATATATATATATATATATATACACACACACACACACACACACACACACACACACACACACACACACACAATGAAACATCTCAAGAAACAAGCTGTTATGTGATTTAACATGATTTAACTCCTTATAGGTGAATGAATTAAATGTAAATTTTAATAATAATAAATCCTTACATTTATAGAGCGCTTATCTGGACATTGTGCTTTACACATTGGGTAGAATCTCCTTATCCACTAACAGTGTGCAGCATCCACCTGGATGATACAACGTCAGCCATATTGTACCAGCACACCACACACCAACTGATTGGTGAAGAGAAGAGTCTGATGAAGCCAATTATGATAAAGGGGTGTTTAGAAGTGGTTAGAGGCCAGTGGGCAAATTTGGCCAGGGTGCCGGGATTAAACCCCTACTGTTTTTTGAAGGACATCCTGGGATTTTTATTAACCACAGAGTGTCAGGACCTCTGTTTAACGTCTTATGCAAAAGAAGGTGCTCTCTGAGCAGTATAAAGTCCCCTTCATTATATTGGGGTGTTAGGACCTTAGACTGTAAAATATATGGATGTAGTATCCGTAACATCACCCATAGGTTTCTGAAGAGTGCAAAAAAAGCCACAAGTGCGCCTACTACCTAACACCCCAATATAATAAAGGGGACTTTATACTGCTCAGAGAGCACCTTCTTTTGCATAAGACGTTAAACAGAGGTCCTGACACTCTGTGGTTAATAAAAATCCCGGCCAACCGTTGCCATTTTGTTCACATGTCATCGTACCCACGGCGGGATACCAAACAAGGGCAAAGAGGCGGAGAATGAGCGGAGCTTCAGACACCTGCTGGCATTGTGCTTAGACCTGGTTTAGACACACTTTACTTTGGGAGAATGCTTAATACTTCATTACCAGTGACTCGTTTGTGTTCTGACCACATGTGCTTGGTTGTACACTATATTAATAAAATGTTAAGACTTTTAAAAACTCTGCTGTAATACACTGAGCCACTAAACATTGTTCTTATGACATTTTTCTACAGGAGGAAAGTGCGAATTATGTCCAAACACTTCAGATATAGTCTGTGTTAGTAAATGCAAAACTATTGATGAAATCCAGCAAAACACTGTATGACAACGCTTCAGATGACTTTTCTAGAGCCTACAGCTAATCAATCTGTCAGACTCTGGAGTGCATTACAGCTCTAAATATAAATATAAATGATAAATGATCTTAAATAAAACAAATACATGTACAGAGATGGTATATAACTTTACTCACATGGGAAACGGAGGCCACGTGAATGGTTTGTGAGCACAATTAAATGCACACAGCATGCCAAATCATCTGATAATTGTAGGAAATAATTCTAAAAGGCAGTTGGCTGTGTAAAGCCACATAAAGCAACACATAAATACGATGAATATGCCGAGTTCAGTGGCTAATCTGCCGGAATCAGCTGAGACAGCAACAGGCGAGACCTAGCTGTCACTCAAGTGGCCACACCCTTAATTATGCAAACTTAATATAGCCTAATATAAATGAAACAGATGAGTTATAAAAAACTTACAGAAAGAATAAAACCACAATAGAGAAACATAAAACACCAATACAGAAATAATTAAAAATGACAAAAATTCAAAGATCCAAAGCAATACTGAAAAGGTGTTTTAAGTAATTTCTTAAAACAATCAACGGAACTAGTCTGACAGAACTACATAAAAAAAAGTTGTCATAAAGTGAAGTTTACTATAGTTTGTAAAGCTGGTGACATCTATGTAATAGAGCTTAATTAATGCAAAACTGTTTACTGTAATAGCAGAAGTCACTGACAAGTTACATAAGTCAGGAGCTGAACTGAGTCATTTCAACCTTTACAAGGTGCTGTAATAACATTTTCTTTAGATGTTTTTCTTTTTCTTTCAAGGCAAATAATTAGCTCCATGTTTGACTTTTAAGGTTTTAACTTTATTTTTTTAACTTCTTTTATTTGAATTTTACAGTGACATTGAATTTTACAGTGACATTGTAAATGAGGTCCCAGGGCCGGATTAACGAATGGGCATTATGGACACATGGCCAGGGGCATGTGAGGTGGGAAAAATGCAGATTTTGGATTGTCTCTTTAGGCTGAGTGCAAATAGCGCACCTCTTTAGAATAAGCTTTTTGAGCGATTTCCACGCATCACTGTTTGATTGATAGAAGCAAAACTAAAGACAGTGATTGCAGCACCGTGTATGTGTAGCTCGTAAAGCGCATGGCATCATGTTTTGACGTGATTGATTATCAACCTGGTTCGAATCCAGCGTCTGATAAACTCTTCTTTTTTTTCCACATTACATGTCAGATTGGAAATACATTTATTTTTAATAGAAAGGAAATATTTTTGTTTAATAATGAAAATGTGATATGAAGTCACAAGTGGCTTATCTGTATTTAATAAGGTTTAGCTTATTTCATATGTGTATAAACAGCATCTAAATAGTTATTTTAAATATTCTATAAAGTTATTTTTTACCTAGTGTTAAATGTTAGTGACATCTTAATATAACTAATTTGTATTTACAACGAATACCCTTTAAAATATGTATTTTTAGTACTGCTTCAGTGAACTTGATCAAGTATAAAAACCATTAAAAAACATGCTTTAAATGCTTTTAATAATTATAGTTGCCTATAAATATATGTTCTATATATAGTTTATTTAAAAAAAATGTGGGTAATAATACATTCATTTTAGTACAAATAAATTATGTTATTCTTATTTTTTAATTAAACTATTGCAGTGCGTGTCTGGGTAGAGGGCCCTACAAGACAATGTGCTCAGGGGCCTCTGAATTTTTTATCCGGGCCTGACCTCTCCATACTCTTGATTTGTCCTCACATATCACTGAATTACCAAAAAAAAAAAAAAAAAAAAACATTGAATAAAGAGAGTGACCACATATAAATGCAGAGAATGCACGTGATTTTGTATTTGCTGAGAAGAGTTTTATATATAAGCAGAATAGAAATAGGAATAGAATAGAAATGCAAATAGAATTTTTTTTTTACGCAGAACTATGTGTTAACTTTAGTCATTATTTTATGCATCTTTTTAGTCATACAGAACATCAGCATGCACAAACTGTATTTTGATTGTACGTGTGCTGATTTTTACGTCATATTTTGCATTCAAAGTTTTTATTCTAACAAAAGAAAAATATTTTATAGTTTCTGAATGATATAAAGTATAAATTAAGATGTGTATTTGTGCACTGAAATAATCACATTTAACATAAATTTAAAAAAAAAAAATTATATTAGACTCCATTGAACCTCTCACAGGTGTGACCACAGATTTCATTATATTCAGAGCTGGTTTGATTGAGGTTTTGGTTGTGGTTTTCACTTAATGAGTTCAAAGAGAAAAAAGAGCTTCAGGTTTTTGTACAGCATGTTTCATGTTTTGTATCACTGGGCTATTACTCTTAGAGCACAATAATAGAGAGCTGAATCTGACAGACGCACATTAGTAATAGTGAGTTCAGTGGATGAACTTGATGTAGCCGAGTGAAACCGATCATCAGACTTGTATTCATTATTACCCAATGATCGAGCATATCTGCGCAGTAAATACTGAGTTTCACCATTGAGATACTGTCTGTACCAGTAAAGCAGAACATCTTCACCACTTGTACTGTAAGAGCAGCTCAACTTGACACTTTCTGTTTCTTCAGACTTTTTTTTTGTCCCTTTATCTGGCTCAATGCTGTCTCCACACACCAAACCTGCCAACAAAAGCACAAATAAAAGGATTTTTCATTTCTAAAATCAAAGATGAAAAAAGTAAATAAACAAATAAAAACAGCTTAATTTGTTTTCTATACCTGCTACTATAGAGAGAAACAGTATAAAGCTTGTGTTCATGTTGAATGAGATCAGTTCAGTTCTCTGGTGAGGTTCTCAATCTCTGAGCCCGCACACACACACACACACACACACACACACTTCCTGATTTATAAAGGTGTGGCTTAAAGGTAGAGTTCAAACAAAAATTACTCTGCCATTCATTAATTTAGTAACTTTTTATTGGTTTAATACGTTTGAAGTTTTACTCATGATTACAAAAGTTTTATATTTTGAAGCATTCTGGTAGCTGGCACCCACTGACTTCCACAGTATTCATTTTACTATTTTACTATTGAAGTCAATTGGTGCCAGCTACCAGCATTATTCATAATTTATTATATATATTAAATATTTTAATATAAAAAAACACATGAGGGAGAGTAAACGATGAGGTAATTTTCATTTTGGGTGATTAAGCTAACATTATCCTCTGTCAAATTTTCTCTCATTCTTCATAAAGTAGAAATTATTAACCTATTGAGTTATGATATTTATTTGAATATTTATTTTATAATTGTATTATCTTTTAATTACTCATAAAAATTCATTCATAATATAATAGCACTGTGTGTGCGTGAATATGTAGACACACTGCCATCCTGTGGCAAACATTTACCTGCACTGAATATTATGAATCATCTGAGGAGATTTGTTGTTTGTAACAGTTTTCAACACTATAGGATCTTTTATTTGATTTGTCAACTAAAGCACAGTATTGTAGATATTTTATGTTCTTCATAAAGATACACTTCTTTTGGAATGATATTTTGTTTTTGATATCAATACATTTGATGCGTCTTGCAGTACTAATGCATTTATTCTGATTTACAAAAATGGGGTTTATTCACTGTTCACATTATATCACTGTAATTTGGAGTCACGGCTTGTTTCTTCTTGCTTTTTCTCTGTTTCTCTCTTGTGTCTGATTGTATCAGGTTATTGTATAGAGCTGTTGTGTTTCCTGTCATTGTGGGCCTCAGAGCGCAGTAATACACAGCAGAGTCTGATACTGCAGCAGAGGAGATCTTCAGATCTGCATGGTTTCGTTCCTTTTTTTCAACTTTAACTGAGAATCTTGGATCTACTTTTGATGTTTCAGTGTCTTTTGCACTGCCATAGGTAGCAAGCAAAAATTCAGGTTTTGATCCTCCATATTGGCGGTACCAGAAGATATTATCTCCAGTTCCAGGATAATGACTGCAGAATATTGTACCATCTGAACCCTCCTTATAAACAACATCTGTGATGTTTGATTTGATATCACTTCCAAAGACTGAAGCTTAAAAAGGAGCAAAAAATATTTACTTTTTAGTTAGATTATTAAACATTGTTATCAAAAAGTAATAATTAACTAAATAAATAGACATACCAGCTGAGGCAAAGAAGAGAATAAGTGAATTAAGCTTCATTGTTGAAGTGTTGAACTTGAGAAGAGTCAGACTGATTGGTTTGAATCACATGTCAGACACTTTAGATTATATCTGATCTGTCAACACTGAGTTCCTCCTCCCTCACATTATAACTTCTGTTCTGTAATTAATTGCTGTAGTTCATGCATGTGAACACTGCCATCTTGTGGCACTTTATACCTACACAAAGTGTTACATATCAATTGAAGTTGATACAATGAGATTCTATTATTTTTATAATATCATTACTATGGATTATTTGCAGTTTTGCCCCTATAGATCACTGTGATCATTAGGGATGGACAAGGTCATCTACAATATATTTGCTGCTGAGTGCTTTCAGTATATCAGCGAAATATCCCACAATACCACCAGCAGACCTTCACATCTTTATATACGTTCATTGTTAATTCACAAGTTGTATTTTCATGGCAATGGCAAGAATGACAGTAAACTAATATAAACAAACACATGCAAAAGAAAAGCAGGAGAACTAATGAAGAGTAAAGATTCTGTAAAGTACCTGGTGAATTAAATGTTCTGCCTTACAAGGGTCTAAAAATAGCAGTAAAAATCTGTTTACTGAGCTAGCTTTTCATTATGAATGATGTTAGCCACAGTCGTGTGAGTGTTTAGTGCAGTCTCAGATGAAAGTATTAATGGTTCATTTCGTGTTGGGTTTCTCTCAGTTTCAGTGTTTTATGAATCTGTGTAAGAAACTTGAGGCCTCATCAGTTTTTGTGTGAGTGTTGAGTGTGTTTGAGTCACTGTGGGCTTCAGAGCACAGTAATACACAGCAGAGTCTGACACATGCAGATCCTTGATTGTCAGAGGAACTGATGTTTTGCTGAGAGCTGCATTAAATCTTTTCTTGAATTCTTCCTCACTATTTCCAGTTGTAGAGAATTTATTCAGCATGTGTTTGGGGACTTCATTGACTTTCTGCTGGTACCAGAATAGAGTCGGTGTTGTATAAGAAGTCTGATATGTGCAGTCAATGGTTACAGTATCACCTTCAAAAGCAGATTGAGTCTTTATGTGCTGATCAACTTTATCCTGAGAATCACATCCTGAAATACAATTATACAAAATGTATAAATATTCAAAATACACACATAAATAACATCAATTTTAAATATATATTTGAAATCTAAATTATTTTGATAGTTTTACCTTTGATATACAGAATTATCACCACAATGCCAATTTTCCAGAAAGCCATTATATGAAGCTGAAATCCTCTGAAAGTGTTGAAGAATCTGCAGAGATGTTGTGCTCCTCTTCCTCTTTCTGCATCTGTTGAAGCAGCAGTCAATTCATATCACTTGCTCTGCTGCTGGGAGGAGCCTGAGCTGCAAACTCTGACCTTTTGCATGAATTCTTTTCTCAAATACTTTATTTTATTTAGAATGTTTTGTTTGGTTATCTCTGAAATTATTTTATTTTGATGAACTGAGTTTATGTACAGCAGATATGGTAATATTAAATTGAAGTTTATCAGTACAAAACTGTTTGCAGATTTTACACACATACAGCAGGATCTTAGATTCATGTTGCCAGGTCTCAACGAAACCCTTCTAATTACTATTCTCTGCTTTGTATTTGTGTTTTGTGTATCTATCTTAGCTGATATTGTATTCATTTTTATTTCAGTTGCACTTTGGACTGCAAAACACTCGTGGTAAAAGTGTAAAGTAGCCAGTCCCAAAGTAATCCACAACCTTGGCAACATTTCTTAAATTAAAAGTTTTGCCCATAGCTAATATTCCATGTGTGACGAGTCTCTTTGACCAACCCACTGATTGGCCGAAAGCGGGAAGGACAGAGACTCATCTGCTCAATTATGAACACCTGAGTTCCCCTCTATAAAAGCCAGCAGTGTTGGCTTCTGGAGAAGCCGTGCTTTTGCTCCTGTTTATTTTGTTTCTTTTTAGCTTTGGTTAATCTTTGATTTTGGCTTACCTAAAGTGAGCACTTTAATATTCTTTAATGTTTAAATACTTTTGGTACCAAACCATCTGGAGTATGTCCTCCCTTTAATTTTGTCATCGCCTTTGAGCCGGGTCGTGACACATGTTAGACTGCTTTAATTTAAAAAAAGTGTTCTCGGAGGAGGCTAAGGTTAAATGAGAGCACCATCCATTTGAATTAGAAGACTTTTTATTTTTTTATTTAATAAATATTTGAGTGCACAGAGCATTGTAATGTTTAAATAGAAAAGTGTGGTACTGATTATGAAACCTATATGGTTACCTGCTTAGTCATACTGAAATTCATTAACGTTTTCTTTGAGTAGAGAAAGTTTACAATCAGTGCTGTTTTCTAATTTTATTTTTAAATGATCATATTCTAATTTAAGCATGATATTTTATCATTATTTGTTCGTTTAAATTCTCACCTATATAATTTGGGGGGAAAATCATTACAATGCCTTAACTACCCCACCAAGTAAAAAAAACATGTTTGGATTGCATTTCTTAACTCCTAATGTCGCTCGTTAACACACTCAATGCATTTTTTTTTAACACTTTCACTAACTTCTAAAGTATCAGCCTCTAATGGTTGATACTGTATGTTGGTTTATGGTAAAAGTACTGGAATTAATACATAAACTATGAAAAATCTGAAACTATGAAGTGTAAGATCAATTTATTATAAAATATTTAAAATAAAAAAAACGAACACTAAATTATCATCATTTTTTATTGAAGTTTGCCATAAAATATGAGACGGTGCTCGCTGCAGAGCCATTTGAGCAGAGCTGAGCTCCAGCGAGGGGGAGCATGAGCTCTCGCTTATCCTCCTATAAGCTGTTTTAATGCGTACACCCACCCCTAACCCTACCCCCAGTGACAATTGTAGTGGCTATTTTCTCTAAGGAGGCTCTCTCAGTGGTCAAGAAACAAAGTCTTACCCGGGATGTCTTTTACAAGTTTTATTCTTTATAAAGATCACAGTCATACAGCAACAACAGTTTCTGCAGAGTGAGATACTGAAGTCAAGTGTGTTCACCCTTTTATCTGGTTTGTACTGCTTACGAGGTCAACTCCCAATAAGGCCTCATCTACAATTACGTCAGGCGTCTTCTGCTGTTCGTGCGATATGCTCATAACAACCCCACATCCTTCTTAGGATAATGAAAAAGCTTTCACCTAAAGACATATAGTTATCTATAAAAATGTACACATAGGTTTTGTGATGAACATATGCAGAACGCAGATGCACACACATGTAATAATGAGTCTTAGACAAGTTTCTAACATATAAAGCTCATCTAAAAATGAATTTCCATTACACATCACTCATAGAAGAAGTGCAAGAAAGGAGGAGCGAGAGCTCAAGTTCCCCCTTGCTGGAGCTCAGCTCAGCCCAAATGGCTCTGCAGCGAGCACCATTTGTAAAATATTTCTGTCACCGACTCGGTCCCAGTCATTCCCCTTGCTGGCCAGCAGAGGCCTCCATCACCGGACTTCTAAGCATTACGTCATCCACTTAAACTGATAAGCATAACGACCCACGCTCACACATATAAGCAGCACACACACTCCAGTCCTTTGCGAAGTCTTGTTCTGCCCTGTCTGACATTTCTGAGCGTTATCTCCTGGCCTGATTCCCCGTGTATTACCTGGACTGTTACTGACCTTGTGTTGCCTTCTGCCTGCCCCGAACCTTGCTTGTTATCTCGACTCTGAACCGTGCCAGATATATCTACTCTGAACCGCGCCACCTGCCTCTGACCCATACTGCTACATTACTCATTGACTGCCAGCCGCCAGCCCTTAGACCCATACTGAATGCCATTGATGTGAGTTCGCACGTAAGTGCGCATTGTATGATTGTGTTTAATAAATTTACTGCAAATGGATCCCTCCGTGTCTGGCTCACTTTTACAATTTCAGATTCTCATTTAACATGCTTTCTTTTTTTGTCTTTTACAATAAAACTAAAATCAAGCCCAGTTGTGCAACAGGATGTTTGTTTGATTTTTATTTTTTGTAAAATGCTGTGTGTAAGCCATTCTTTAAAATACTTTTGACTTTAACAGTCATTATTTAAAAGAGTAAAAACCTGGTCAACCGTTTGGTAGAGGGGCAGTTAAAGGAGAACATTTATTTTTGCGCTCAAGTATCCAAATGCTAGAGTACTGTATGTTGCTGTAAAATGTTAATGTTTCTCTGAAGTTTTGTAACAGGTGTGACCACATATTTCATTGCATTCAGGGCTGGTTTGATTGAGGTTTTGATTGTGGTTTTCACTTGATGAGTTCAAACAGAAAATAGCTTCAGGTTTTTGTACGATATGTCTCATGTTTTGTATCACTGGGCTCCTACTCTTAGAGCACAATAATAGAGAGCTGAATCTGACAGACGCACATTATTAATAGTAAGTTCAGTGGATGAACGTGATGTAGCCGAGTGAAACCGATCATCAGAGGAGTGTGAATCAGAAGCCGATCGTGCACTTTCGAACAATAAATACTGAGGTTCTTTATTGAGAGACCGTTTGTACCAATATAGCCAAACATATTCACTATTTGTACTATATGAGCATCTCAACTTGACAGTTTCAGTTTCTTCAGTTTTTTCTGTTCCTTTATCTGGCCCAATGCTGTCTCCACACACCAAACCTGTCAACAAACAAAACAATCAACAAATCAGCAAATATTTCAGATTGTGAAATCAAGTTTGACAAAAAATATCACACTCACAGCACTATCAACAATGTGAAAAATAACTTGCTGCAATCACTTAAATACACTTTTTAAAATAATTTATATAGTACCTGTGGTCAGAGTGAGAATCAGTATAATCAATGTGTTCATGTTGAAGATCAGCTCAGTTCTCTGTTAAGAGTTGAGCTCTGTTGAGCTGTAATTGCACATCACACACACACACACACTTCCTATTATTAGGATTTTATTATGCTTAATTTTTACTCTACACTGCCATCCTGTGGCAGACATTAACAGCACTAAACCTGTAAGAATCAATCAATCAATC